GTACAAACAGCAAAAGATAAGCTAGATGACTGGGACCTTCTAAAAATTACATGATAATGCACATCAAAAGAGTGAAAAAAGAACCTACAGATTGGGGAAAAATATTTGGTAACAACATATCTGACAAGAGACTCACCTCTAAAATTTATAGAATACTTCAACACCTCAACATTAAAAAGACAAGCAATCCAATTTAAAAATGAGCAGAGGACATGAACAGACACTTAACTAAATAAGATATTCAAGCAGCCAACAAACACATGAGGAAATGCTCATGATCATTAGCCATTAGAGAGCTGCCAATCAAAACAACAATGAGATATCTTCTCATCCCAGAGCTCAACAAGACAGAAAACAAATGCGGGCGAGGGTGTGGAGAGATTGGAACTCTCATACACTGCTGGTGGGAATGTAAAATGGCACAACCACTTTGGAAAACAATATAGTGCTTCCTTAAAAAGTTGGAAATAGAAATGACATTTGATCCAGCACTCTCACCACTAGGTATATATCCTAAAGAAGTGAGAGCCAGGACACAGATAGACATATGCACATCCAACTCCACTGCAGCACTATTCACAATAGCAAAGGGATGGAAACAACCTAAATGCCCACCAACGGAGGAATGGGTCAACAAACCATGGTACAGATACACAATGGAATACTCTGCAACATTAAAAAATGAAGAATTGGCAAAACAATTTATCGTGTGGATGAACTTAGAGAACATTAGCTGAGTGAAATAAGTCAATCACAGAAAGACAAATATTGTATGAATCCACTATTATAAAAAGTCAAGGAAAGGTTTACACACAGACGGAAACTTTGTTGGTATGGCGGTTAAGTTTGTTTGTCAACTTGGCTGGGCCTGGTTGAGAGGCTGGGCAGCTGGATGTAGTATTCCCCATGATGAGACTGGTAATCAACTCCATGGTGGTATCTACTGGGAGCAGCTGGCAGCTGAGTAGCTGCCTTTGGGTATGTGGTCTGCTTCCCGTATATAACAGCTTTTGGAATGATCTCTAGCTTATAGCACGCTTGAACCCTGCATGTAGCTGTGTCATTGTTCAGCAGCCTGCCATGCTCTGCCAACCATGGGACTTTCAATGGACTTGAATTAATGGCCTGCCATGTGGTTTAGTAACATCAGGACTGTGCCATTCTATTTGTCGACGTTAGACTTGTTAGCCTCAGCAGCCAGTAGCTGCCTGAGTGAAGAGATACCTCTAGCTTCAGTGGGCTGGGACCAAGAGGCAGAGCTGAAGCTCAAGGTTGAGGGGCTTTCACCCAGCCCCAAGAGCCTGGCGCTTTGAACTCGGACTTCTAGCCTCCTGAACTGTAAAAGAATAAACTCCTGTTTGTTCAAGCCATTCCATTTGTGGTATTCTTGTCAGAGTGGCACCTAGGTAACCAGAACAGATGGTTACCAGGGATGGGAGGAGAAAGGAAGGAAAATTGCCAGCAAGATGAGACATGTATTGATTTGGGTAAAGGGAAAGGCAATATACCAAAAGTGGGTACACAGCACCATAACACTTAAGAAAAAGGAAGACATGGAGAGGTGCACAAGAGGTACAGACAACAAAGATGAACATTTACATACACAACACTGCATTATCAGTAATAAGAAATTAATCTATAAGTGAATACATAGGTAGACAGGCAACATGACTTGGTAGGCAAAAGGGAATATACCCATGACCATATACAGATTTAGGAGCTCTGGTAGCATAGTGCCTAAGGCACTTGACTGCTCACCAGAAGGCTGGCAGTTCAAACCCACCAGCCACTCCTCAGAAGGAAGGTTGGGCAATCCTACTTCCGTAGTGATGCTGCCTCGGAAACCCAAGGGGGGGGTCGCTATGAGTCGGGGCCGACTCGACGGCAAACAACAACAACATATACAGATTTGGCAGATGATATTTCTAGATATGTATTTATTTGTATGTGCTATAAAAATGTCCATATATATAACAGAACTAACAAGAGACAAAGTTATTATAAGTTCTTAGCACAACCACACCTTGAGGGAGTGAGTCACTGGGCCCACAAGCTTCAGACCATGGTCACAGGGGACATCAAGCTCAACTGGCATAACATACTGCGCAAAAACATTGTTCTACACACTCCTTTGGTAAGTAGTGACTAGGGTGTTAAAAGTTTGAAAGTAGCCATCTAAGATGCAACAACTGGTCTCCTCATCTGGAGCAAGGAAGAATGAAGAAAATCAAAGAGGCACGGAAACAATTAGTGCAAGGGACTAGTGGATCATGGGAACCTCAGCCTACATGACCCTGAGACCAGAAGAGTTAGATGATGCCCGGCTACTACTCAGAAAGGGATCGAAATAGGAGATCTGGGATAGAGTGGGAAAAATGTGGAACAAAACTCAAAATCATGAAAACAGGATCAGGCTTACTGGTCTGACAGACCGGTGAAACCCTCAAGACTATGGCCGCTAGTCACCCTGTAGGCCTGGAATTGAACTCAAGCCCATGACTCCCAGCCAGAAAATGGACAGGCCTATAAAGCAAACATTTACACCATGGAAGGTCAGAAGGGCAGCGTCTGCACAGGGAGAAAGCTCAGAGGGCAGGAATGCATAGGAAATAAGGACACAGGGAAAGGGTAACCACAGAGAGGATTGCAATCAATGTCACAAAACAAAATGTATATGAACTGTTGAATGGAAAATTAATTTGCTCTGTAAACTGTCACCTAAATCACAATAAATTTAAAAATATATAACCACATCATCATACAAAAAAAATTTATTACTTCCTTCTATTATTAGGAATTCCTTTGTGAATGGCCTCGTTCACATACTTCTGGGGGCCTTTGAAAAACAGTGTAAATAATTAAATCCTCAACTACCATGGAAACATTTACTCAGATTTTGGATCTGAGATCTTTGCTTGATTCCTTCAATCAGGTGGGAGGGAATTAAGAGACAAGCCCTCAGCCTGCCAAAGAGGCAAGAGCAACTGCTCTGGCTGATCGTTAAGGCACAGCCCTCACCCTTGCAAGGGCAATGAAGACGTATTAAAGCTATGTGTGGGTTTAAGTCCCAGTTTTGCCACTTTCTGGCTACGTGATCTTGGAGAGGACAATACACTTTGTGTCATGCTTTCTCCACCTCTAAAAAGACTCTGAAGAGGCCCTGGGTGATGCAAATGGTTATGTGCTTGACACTAGCTGAGAGGTTGGTGGTTCAAAACCATCCAGAAATGCCTCAGAAGACAGGCCTGGCAATCTGCTTCTGAAAGGTCATAGCCTCAAAAACCCCATGGAGTATGTGACTGATGTATTTACAACAAAAAATAATAATAATAATAATAAAACAGTAGCTACTGAGACTGCTTATGTACCACGAAATACCTCACAAGATTTGGTTCCTTGGTTTGGAGATGTAAGGTCGTGGTTTCATGGGACATCTAACAGCCTTAATAACCTGTTTTGTGCTTCTGTTCTACCTCCCAGTTCCTTGCATAGTGCCTCAGGTCTTAAAAGCTTGTGCGTGGCCATCTGAAGCATGACAACTGGTGTCTATTTGCCTGGAGCAACAGAGGAAGCAGAGTCAGGATTAGGAGGAAGATATGGAATGTGTGGCTAATTGCTTCCATGAACACTGCCTCCTATGACATGAAACCTGAACTGGACGGTGTCCAGCTATCATTACTGAATATTCTGATAAAAGATTCTATAGAGTAATTATGATCAAAAGGGGGAAAATGTAGAATAGAACCTCAAATTCTCATGGACTCCAGACTTTCTGGAGCCATGGGGACTTGATGAACCCCTGAAGCTACTGCCCTAAGATAATCTTTAAAACTTTGACCAAAATATCCCCTAAGTCTTCTTAAAACCAAACAATAGTTTGGTTAAATAAGTAAAAAATGTCTGCTTGGAGTATTATACTCTTTTAAGAACTAGCTACATGGGATCAAACTGACAACAGCAACTCAAAGGATTAGACAGGAACCTTAGCCAGCAGTGGTTTGCTAATGGGAGAGGAACAACTCAGAAAAGGAGAGGAGGGTGAGAGTGGTTACACGACTCGGATAATGTAATCGGTGTCACTGAATGGTCCATGTGGACGAAAACACACATAGCAAAACTGACAACAAATGCATACTTATCGATAACTACACTGAACGTAAACGGATTAAATGCACCACTCAAGAGACAAACTGCATGTGTAGAAACTGTGGAATCGGTACCTGTTTTGCTGTGTATATTCTCAACAGTAACAAGATAAATTTTAAAAAGCCCTATGGAGAAGTTATATTCTCCCATACATAGATAGGGCTGATCAACTCACTGGCAACTAACATCAAAAATGGGGTAAATAAGAAAAACAGTGATGTTATACAAGTAAGGATTAAAAGAGTAAAAGGAAAGTACAGTTTAAAATGCTTTTATACCAATTAAGGGTTATTTAATTGTAGGTTTAATTAATTTCTCATTTAGTCTGCCAGCCAATAGAAAGCCCATGTTAACTAAGTAAATGTTCAATGTTCAATTTTCTCCATCAACAGGAATAAAAATTAGCCACTAACTCACCAAGTTCTCTTGGATTTCAATCCAACAGTGCCAGACCTACAGCAGCAAGACTGAAAACGTACTTTCTTTCAGAGCAGGCTTAGGTCTCCAACGACTTCGATTCTTAACACATCATCCACAGACTTTCAATGAAGAAGCAAGGCCCCGCTCAGGGCCATCTAATTAAAGAGTGAGTGGGGAGAGAGCAGACAAAGCAGGTAATCTTTTCTACTTTTATTTATAAAGATCACAATCTGTCCTCTGGACACAGACACAAACACTCGCACATTCCAAGGAGCCACAAAGAAAAAAACAAGACAACAGTGGGGGCCAACACCAGGCTGTGCAGCCCAGACTCAGGGATTACCACATATGACAGCTGACCTAAAAGACAGGGAGAGAGACCTTTATGTGGTGGTCCCACCCCATCCCACCCACAAAGCAGAAAGGCTCCACACTCAGTCTTCGGCATCATCAAACTGACCCTTTTCAAAGACCATCTTGGAATAATGGGGTATCAGTGGAGGTGGATGGTGCCAGCTGGGGTCATAGACTATGTCTCCTTGTGGAACACAGCACACCCAAGGTTTGACCTCTTGAGAAATGCTCCCCTGGATGTCGTCGGCATCTGCAGGTAGTTTTAAAAGACAGATTAAAGGGAGGAGGTAAGGTGGAAGCAGAGAGCCCAAAAATGTGTGTGTGTGTGTGTGTGTCTATGGGACATGCACTTGCACTTATTTTGTTTGAAAACATGCATGTGTGCATGCACACATGCACACACACACACACACACACACAGCTCTTCCCTGAAGAACTGCAAATATGTTCATTCTAAAGTAATCCATAGTTATGCTTCTCAAATAAGGGTTCTTGACAGTCCAGAGGAAGTAAATGGGTAACAAAGCACTTTTGTCTGCAGCTGCTCAACTTGCCCAAAGATTTTTGGAAAGAGTAACTTTGTTTTTATGTTAAAACAAACCTATATACTATAAGCGTTAAATGCAAAATTGGCAAGTATTTTTTTGTCAATATGAAAGAAGTTGTCAGAGAAACTTCAGACTTCCAACACATCGCAGGCCAAGGTCATAGATGCAGGTCCCTCCTCCCAACTGTCTGCTTTTAAGGGTACTAGCTAGCAAAGAGAAGTCTGAGAAGCCCTGGCCTCGGACCCTAGAAACCGCACACCTACCGTAGGGATTCCCTTGATCTGTTTTCAACTCTAAGTCCCAGTCCTCATTAAAAAGATCAGCCGTCTGTTCCTTGGGCAGGCAGCCGGAAACCCCTTCTGGCAGCTCCCAGGTATTCAGTTCCCCATCAGAATCCTCATCATCCAAAGCAAAGCCTTCCTCTTCAGAAGGGACACCCTCACCGTGGACAGCACTCTCATTAGGGATGCTCTGTGCTCCTCTGGCTGTGAAATTAATTTAAAGAAAAAAAGGAGGTCTTAAAACTACTGACAAACCAGAGAGTGGGGTTTTACCCTTGCATTTGGATGGAGTGGGGAAAGCACAAAAATTGGTGGGGTGGAGCTGCTGATGTTATTAGTTGCCATCTAGATTCCAACTCATGGCAGCCCCCAGTGTGCAGAGTAGAACGGTGTTTCATAGGGTTTCCAAGGACTTTTGAAAATAGATTGCCAGGCCTTTCTTTGGAGGTGCCCCTGGATGGGTCTGAACTGCCAACCTTTCAGCTAGTAGTCTACAGCTTAACCATTTGTGCTACCCAGGAACTCCTGGTGGGATGGGGAGGGGGGCATAAAAGATCACTCATATCTTGCTTTGTAATGTATCCAGGGAAAAAAATGTGGCAGACTTACTAAGAGGGCAATAAAACAAGTGTACCAAGTTCTTAGCCACTGGAGCAGTAAAATAATATTGTTCTGTTTACATTTTCAGAAGTAGGGCTGATCATTTATTTTCAATGTTTTGCTTTAAACAAGGCCATTATATGCCAAGTCCTGTAATTCACAGCAGAGAGCCAGGTACAGTTTATATTTTCAGGTACCATTCATGTCATTGAGGCAAAAGAACTCTGACAAACTATGTGCTTTTCATAAGCTTGAATTGAATGTTTGCTCTTCTATTCCTCCCTCCATCTCAAAGAGCAGGTCTTTGGTGAGCATAGGGACAAGGGGAGAGTGGCAAGAATGCAGCCAAAAGAGCAGAAGCTTCCAGTCACAACAGGCAGCCACCATATCTTTTCCTCCTGACCTTGGGGGCAGCTGGAAAGTACATTTTCAAAAGCTTTCAAAACAATGGAAGAAAGTTTGAGAAGGGTAAGGAATCTCCGAGCATAAAGGGCTATGGTGATGCCATTTGAGAGGTAAGGAAGGAATCAGCCTCAGAACAGGTCAGGCTGTCAACACTGTAATAATAACAACAGCTACTAACCAATAAAGTAACAGTTAAGGGCAGAAGGGGGACTGCCTGAGTTCAGTCAGTTCTGATAATTATTAAATGTGAGTGAGCCAAAATGGATTGAACTATTGTGTGCCTCAGTTTCCTCATCTGTAAAATGGAGACAGGGCTGTTATGAGAGTTCAGAAGGGGAGTGGAAGTGGAAGGGGAGGGAAGGAGGGAGGGAGGAAGCACCCAGTGAGTACTCAGTATGTCAGTTGCTGTGATTATACCCATCATGTGTTTGGTGCTTTACCTACTGTCCAATAGAACTTCTGTGATGACAGAAATACTCTGTAATCCGTGCTGTCCGAGAGAACAGTTCTAGCCACATGTGGCTACTGAGTACTTAAAATATGGCTAAGGCAACTGAGATACTGAAATTTTAAAATTTTATTTCATTTTAATTTTAGGAGCACTGGTTGCTAATGGCTATCGTATTGGGCAACACAGTTCTAGATCCCATTCCTCAGCACAACCTTCAGAGGTAGGTATTACTACCCCCATTTAAAAAGGAAGACAGGCTAAGGGACTCAGTTCTGAGGCCACAGAGCTCGAACACAAGACGATCTCACCCAGGTCTGAAATTTAAAACAATGTTGCCTGACTCCAAAGACACTCCTTCCACTGTTCCATGCTGTTTTTCCCAGTAGAAACGATGGAATTGGAGTAAAAGAAAAGTCCAGGGCTTTCCTTTAGGAAGCTCTAGCTGGGCTCCCAAACAAGGGCACTGTTGACACAGTAGGCAGAGATAGCAACATAGCAGCAAAGGGAAAGACTGGCTGGAAAGAGGTGACCAGAAGCATAGCAACTGCCCTTCTAGTCACTTCCTTAGACCTCCCAACATGCACCCCATTCTCTTGGCATCTACTTGCCTAATCGAGCCGTGGCCTTCTCAGTCTCGCTCTCCTTCAGATCAGAGTGGTCAGTCATAGCAAAGCCAACCTGCAGGAAGAAGCAGCAGTTACCTGGGGATTTGGGCATAGCCCACTAAGGTATTGTATCTCAGCTCCAAAGCCATACTTCAGAATTCTGCTTTGTGATTCTGGGGCAGGGACTTGCTCTTCCTAGTACTGTAAACATCAGCCCAGCAACACTTTTTCACCCCTGGCAGCAGCTAAATCCAATTTAGTTTCCAGCACTTGCAGAAACAGCCTCAACACTGGGCTCTCCCTTCAGAGGCCTGGGTCCCAAGAACTCAGAACCCTTCTTCTAAGCTCAATGACCCCAGCACTGGCTGGGGCAGGGCCCTCTCCTCAGAGAGCACAATTTCAGCTCTGCAAAGCCTTGCTTTTAAACTTTAATTATTCCAACCTCACCTCTTTGTTCCCTCAGTCCTAGGGTTGGTAGCTGTTTCCTGCAGTTGCAACCTGCCTGTTCACCTTTTATCCTATTACTTAGATGACAACTTAACATCTAGTTAACAATCCTATCAAACTGTTCAAATAGCTGGTATGGTTTTCCATCTCTTGATTGATACGTGGGGGAAGCGGGGCTTTGGTTCTTTTGCAATGCTGAGCACTGAAGGAAATAGTTCTGACCTAATTGGAAACTTCTCCCCACAAAGCCAACCAGATGCATTTCTGTGTCCATCACTCCCAAGTTCCTGAAACTGTATAGACTCCAAGACCTCTTTCTGGATGGAATAAGAAATGTTCACAGCCTGCATGAAAAGACCAATTTCAATACCAGATCTGCTGCTCAGAGACCAGTGAGGTGGCCATACCACCTCAGCCATCATGCCTGGGTTTCTTTCTCTGGAAACAGAAAATGATGTTATCTCATTGTAAGCAGGAGGCTTATGATGAGTTAGCATTTACAGAAACACCTAGTATGTACCAAGAACATAACGTTTATTGAATATAAGTCCACTTTTCTTTTCCAAACTGCACTTGGTAACTACAAGAGACCTATGCATGGAGAATACTAGTATTCATGATCTAATCACGCCTGGGTTTAAAGATCCCATTCTGCCTCAGTGGTGACAACCCTTGTTCAGTGGTGCCACCTGCAGTGTCTCTCATCTAGACTACTGCAAGAGCTTCCTAACTGCTCCCCACACCCCATTTTGCCCAGCCTTAGAGAGTCCACCAGTACTCTGCTCAAAAACCTTCAACAGCCCTCCACAAAATCAGGCATGGCGTTCAACCCCATCCCCATCAACCTGTGGAGCATAGTTCTCTGTCCTCTCTCTGGGACCCAAGCCCCAAACCCTGTGCTGGGCACATTCTGTCTCCAGGGCTTCGCAGACCGCAGCAGCCTCTCTCCTTGGAGAGGAAGGGAACATCCTTTCCTGCTATCCCTGGTTAAAATTAGTCTCATCCTATTCTGCACACTCTGAAGTAACTATCACTGCATTTTTCATTTCGTACTTTGGTTATGAACCTTCTTTGATCCTTTACAAGTATTTCATTCATTCAATTAATACTTGAATGCCTATTACCTACGTGCAAGGCACTATGCTAGGCGCTGGATAAACAGCACTCAATAGACGCTTCCTATCCTCAAGGAGTTCGTCGTCTAGCAGAGATTACAGACCACAAATAGGGCAGGTAGTAACTAATAATAAAGATCTTTGAAAAACCAGAGGCTGTCTGGTGCGTAAATGAAAACAAGTCTATGCATCAAAGGGGGCTTTCTGGTTTCAGTAAGTATAAAAGACGAAACCGCCTGTGGCATTACCTGGCGCTCAGGGTTAGCTGGGCATCCCCACCAATGGACGTCTGTTCTTAAGGGATATTTCTCTCCTCGCCACCCTCACCTGGTTCCCGCCCAAGCCCCCACAGGAGCCGGTTTCCGGAGCTCTCGGTCTTCAGTACCATCTCTCGGTTAACAAGCACGCAGTGCTGCCCCCTTGAGCCGGCAGCCTGCCCTCCTCACCCGACGCGCCCACCCAGGTCCAGCCCACGCCGTCACAGGTCCAGCCCCGCAGCTCCGCAATCCCTCGGCTCGGCCGTTCTGAGCTCGAGCACGCGCCCAAACCGCTCCGCGTTCGCGGGCGGCCCGAAGTGAGCCACAGGCGCATCCCCGGCTCCGCGGCCCCAGCCCGGCCCGGCGCGGCGAGCCCCCCAACTTCCCGACCCGGCCGCAGGTGGTACCCAGAACGGCCCTAGCGCGGCGCTCACCCCCGGGCTTGGGGGCGCCGCCCATGAGCTCGGCAGAGGCGGGCCCCGAGGAGGCTTGGCCGCCCCCAGCGCTTGGGCCCCGGCGGCCTGAGAGTCCATGCCAGGCGACTCGCGGCTCGGCGCCCTGGACGCTGCTCGGCCACGTGATGCTCGGGCCTGGCTGCCAGCCCGCGGATACGCCTCGGAGGGCCAATCAGCCAGGGGTGCTCCCGGCTGAGGGGGCGGGACCCAGGGTCACGAGGAAGCCAGGGGCGGGGCGGGGCGGGGCGAGGGGCGGGACGCGGGAGAGCAGGGAAAAATCCCCGCCACCCAGACCCAGGACAGGAAACAAACTCCTGCCAGGCTAGACCCTGGAACTGGACCACTAACTACGTATGGAGTCCTTCAGCTTCCAAATCTCGAATTTGTTAGAATATTAAATTATCCAGCCTTATAGTGTAGAAAGCCCAGCACTTTCAGTGCAACTGTAGCCTCGACTCACATCCCTTTGCAGGTTTCGCTAGAATTCAGAGAGCGCCTGTGAAAATCAGGCTGGAATTAACTCACTACAAATGGATGAAACAACTCAGCAGTCCAGTGGTTCTCCACCTTGAACTAGGCATTGTGTCTAAAATTAACCCATTGGAAACCAGTTGAAGCACAACAAACTCCTACTGTGTGTGGAGCATCTTAAAGGCTGATAGTCCTAAGAACCCTAAAAATGTGTTCTGTGACAGTAGTCTGGCTGCAGCTATCTTTAAATGTGAAGGTCTGGTACTCTACAACAGTTACCATTCTCATTTTGCTTCTGAAGACATAAGGAATCGTCCATGATAGGAAGGGCCTGAATGGGGCATAAGCCCTGCTACCTACCTACCCCAAAACCAGCCTCCCTGCCTTTCCCCACACTGTCTACCTCTAATGAAAAAGCCTGCTCAAGGTGTCATGATCACATGTAAGAAGGTGGGATTCCTTGCTCACCAAACAACCTTATGACAAACTTCTGGGACCTTGAGTTAGCCTGTTTCTTACCTCCACTCCTCAGAAGGAAGACTGGCCAATCTACTTCTGTATAGATACTGCCTCGGAAACCCAAGGAGGGTTCGCTGAGTCAGATCCAACTTCATATGGATGGAGTAAAACTTTTGGGACCTTCATTTACTGATATGGAAGGACACAAAATGAGAAGAAACAGCTGCAAACATTTATTAATAATCAGAATGTGAAATGTACAAAGTATGAAATTGAAAGATGTCAAAAATGAAATGGAAGCTTAAAAATACTTATGCTAGGCATTAGTAAGCTGAAATCGGGTAGAATTGGCCATTACTAATTGGGCAATCATATGGTCTATTATCCACCACTCATCTGTCAGTTTGTTGGATTATGGTAGATTACGTGTTGCTGTGAGGCTAGAGGTTATGCTACTGATATATCAAATACCAGCATGGTCACCCTGTTTCAGTGCAGCTTTTAGACTAAGACAGACTTGGAAGAAGGAAGGGGCCATCCACTTCTCAAAGAACTGGCTAGTGAAAACCTTATGAATAGCAGTGAAACACCATCTGATATGTTACCGGAAAACTTATGAATAGCCCCGAAACACTGTCCAATATAATGCTGGATGAGCCCTCAGGTCGGAAGGCACTCAAAATATGACTGGAGAAGAGTTGCCTCCTCAGGGTAGAACCAATCTTAATGACATGGATGGAGTAAAGCTTTTGGGACCTCCATTTGCTAATGTGGCATGACTCAAAATGAGAAGAAACAGCTGGAAACATCCATTAATAATCAGAATATGGAATGTACGAAGTATGAACCTAGGAAATTTGGAAGTTATCAAAAATGAAATGGAACACATAAAGATTGATATCCTAGGAATTAATGAGTTGAAAAGGAGCTCTGGTAGCATAGTGCCTAAGGCATTTGCCTGCTAACCAGAAGGCTGGCAGTTCAA